CTGACTGTTAGTATTTTTTTAATTCATTATTTATTCATGTCCACATTTTCCAACATTGTTTTGTTGATTAAGGAGGAATAAGACTTTTTAGCTTTATAACAATCTCTATTATTTTTTATCTTAACGTAAAAAATAGTATCTATATTTCAGGTAACCGATTTATTTTTTATGTATAAAACTTGGGAAAATAATTTTTTTTTATAAAAACCTTAATTAAAAATTGAAAAATAGGCAATAACAATTAGGTATCTGTACAATTCTTAGTATATGTATAACACAAAACAAATTTAATTAGGTTAGGCCTTAGTAATTATTTAAAAACATATTATATAATGAATTTTGTAATGCATAACAATTAATTATACCATTTTTTTTTATATGTGATATTGTTAAGACTTAAGGCCTTAACTCGAAATACATGATGTCTGATGATAGTTCGTTTATTTCTGTTTGCTTGTTTTTTTTTCAAAATTCCTTTCTCCATCAATCTACTGACTCATTTAAGCTAATGTTTGTGAAGGAGTCAGCGAGAAATATTAAAACAAAAGAATTGCAAGTGTAAAGAATAAATTTCATTGAAATTCCAGATGAAAAATGTTAGTATTGATCTAAGATGTTATAAATTATATGCTAGTCGGCGAAAGGATTTATTTATAATAAAAAATTATCCACATTATTATCCAAATATTCATATTAATTTTAAAATATTCCATAAGAGATGGAATGTAGGTATTCTGTTAGTCTTAAAATATATTTTTTTTCTATACATTTATAAAACTAAATTCGGAATACTGACAATTGCCCTACAATTTCAATTACTCAAAAAAAAATATTATTGGACCCAAAATAAAATAATTATCAAAATCGTTTTAAACGTTAGAGACTTCAAATAATTTAACTAGGTCGATGATAAAATATGTGGTTTTTGTTTTCGAATATTTTCTTATTTAAGACATTGGTGTATGACTGTGACTGTTTGAACAAGCATACAAAACAATAAATCAAAACAAGTATTCTTCTTATTTTAAATAAATAATACAACTTAAAACGTGTTTTCAATACGTTTTCCCGCTTAAGAAGGTGAATATACAATTATTTAGAAAAGTAATGATAAATGTTTTAAATTTTGAATGTAAAAATAATTATAGTTATATTATTTATGACCGGATGTAGACAATTTTAAGTGTTCTAAGACCAATTGTAGGAACACGGATAAAAATAAAATACAATACAATACAAAAAATATATGTATTCATAATAGTTTATAGTTTTTTTAATATTATATTATAAATAATAATATATTATAAATATATTTACAATTTTCTCATTTCTGTAAATTCTACCCAAAGGTATACAACGCATTTTTATGTATATTATTATGACTCATATGTTTTTTTCATACCGACACGAATTTAAGGTAAATTAAACGCAAAAAAATATATTACTATTCGTGTGTTGTTTACGCATTTATAACGTACAACGAAAATTCAGAGCATAAAATAAAACCTCACATATTATGGTTTGGAAACCCAAATTTGGGCCTCAAAGAGCAATCCAGTGATCGCAGATAAAAAAAACAAATATCGATAAGAGCATTGTACCTAATGTCAATTATGTGCTTAAAAATGAATTTTTAGTTTAAGGGTGAATATGATTTGGGTTACATTTGTTACATTTTTGTTTTAAATGTATTCACTTTTTGTTATCTCTGGTGAAACCAGTTGACATTGACTATTTAATAAAAAATTTCAATTAAACAATTTTTAGTCGTTAGATAAAACCACTCTTCTATAATGGAATCTATAATGTAAGAGTGACTATAGAATGAAATGGTTCATTTATCAACGAAAAACAAGTGAATGCTCACAGTTTGTTAGTTGTACATTCACCGATTACATACTTAACATACAACAATACATTTAAATGACAATTACACTTGAGGTTTTACACATTAAAGAGCTTGCTTCCGCAAGGAGTTGAACAAAAGTAAAAAATAAAGCAGAGTTTAAACATTATGTTATCTTTATAAATTGGTCACAAAAATAAAATAGGTTCTCTCTGTATAAATGTATTGTTATAATAACCCATCTATCGTTGTTAACAATATAATGAAACATTTTCACTGTCTATTTACTCACTCACACATAGCGACCTGGAAATTGACTACAGTAAAAGTGTAATTTTCCCCTTATTTGGGGGGGGGGGGTTTTCTTTAATATAAAATAAGTTTGATCACAGTTTTTTTTTTGGCAAAATTGTACAATATGTTATAGTTCCATTCTAGATAATATACCTTCGGTCTAATTTTCCCGACCTAAATCCCTAAAGCTTTGCTTCGAAAAGTGAAATATAGAAAAAAATACTATCTTTTCTATTGGAAACTGTTTAAATTCCACAAAAATTTGGAATTTATTTGACTTGTTAGTTGTTAAATCTTTAAATTGCACCAAACAAGTTTTAAAAACATTCAGCCTTTTTCCCAGGAGGAAGGAGGGTTGTTGAAATTTCGGGGTTTACCGTGTGTAATTTTGTTGGTGACTTTTTTTACTAAAAATGCTAAGGTTATAATATTTTTGAAAAGTATACAATTTCGGCACATGAGAATGTTTTAGTCATTTTTTTTTTTTTTTGCCATCCCTTAATGTTTATACATTTTAAGCACAAAAATACATCGATCGAGCGACAAAAACAGTATATAAAATTGTCGATGTTCGAATTACAATTTTTTTTTATTTTGTGCACATCTAAGTGTTACTTTTAAAAGTCCGTAAAACAAATAGTAGCCTAAACTTAAGTAGGGCTATCGACAGATATTCTCAAAGGAAAAATCCATTACAAAATGGTGAAAAATTTATATCACATTGTATAAAAACAATATACAATAGAAAATTATTGAAGCTTGAGTGGGGTATTATATTACTTGGATGACATCCAAGTGGGAGTAACCTAATGTAAATAGTGTAAATATACAATAGTTCACGGTAATATGATCACCCTGTATTCAATTAATAAAAAATATATATATAAATTTAAATCGCTTCGTAATTATCACGTATTATAGATTACATTTTGATAATTAAGCGCTGACTTGTATTATATTAAATTAACTTTAGAGCAAAGCATATTTGTTTTGAAAAATAGTGGGATTAATTAATCTTTTTTCTTTATTTGTAGTTTTAAGAATAAGAAAGAATAGAAAAAATAAAGAGAAAATAGAAAGAAAAAATGCTTTAGCTTTAGGCCTCTCAGCTCGAACACGATACAAAATAACGACACGAAATAGCGTCACGAAAATAGCGAGCCTACTTTAAACGTATAATAAAACGAGTCGTCGTCGTCGTAATGTAAACGTTTTGGCCAGAACATAACATAATTAATCTCAAGGAAATTATAGATAAAAAATAATCCATATTTAGGAGCCACCAAGCTAAAGCATGGTCCATGTTTTTTAATTTTAGCCATTAGGGTTTCAATAGACTGTAGCTTTTTTATTTAAACATCTTCATGATTTCAACGCGAGGGGGATGAAGTAGTTTTACAATTGTAAAAAGTGTTGTCAGAAAAATATTGCTTATAATTTAACAATAGTTAATACGTAATTATAGTGTGTTCTAGTCTGCTGAAGTAGATCTAGAGACAAAATAAAATAAATTCCTTAACTTAAAATATTGTACTTTTTAGACGACGAACATTTGTACATTACGGAGTTCTTCATGGCGGTATTCGTGGAGCGTGACCGAAAAAACGCTGTAAAGGACTAAGTGTTTTAAGTGAATTAATTATTATTTTAAACGTTTTACATACGAATATTTTTATTTATTCCTTTAAGAAATATACAATGATATTAATCTATATTGACAATATAAGATATTATTTTAATACGTTTGTTTTTGTGAATTTCTAAAATTATTTAACTTTTAATGCAATACCGTTAAAATGATATTTTTATTTAGAAATCATTATATAATTACCTATCCTAGGTTTTGGAAGTCATATATTTCCTGAACAGCCCAAAAAAAACAAGCTAATACGTTTTTTAAAAACGTTGTACTGGTCAGGTACAGACGTACAGTACACAGTTATTATGGACGCTGAAAAGCAGGTGAACAAATTACGACTAAATATCAACTGAATTTGCGCTTGATGAATAACTATAATGGCACATTGCAAGTGAAGGTAAACATAAATGAAAAAGAGATTGGCTTCGTGCTCCGTCCTCACTATGCCCCGACCCCACTGTTCAGCCTTTTTATTGTTAAAAATAAAAATAAAAATGGTCAAATAAATAACACCAAAGATAAATAATCACAATATTAAAATTATTATTTTTCTATTCATTCGGGGATTAAGGATAGAATATTCATTTTCATATTCTACTCAGATCTATGGACATCAGTTGTATAGATAAGTTTGGTGACTATACAAATACCAGAAGGATTTTCTCATCCGTTTGAATAAATGTACTTGATTGCATATTATAGTGTATGAAATTTTTTTTTTTTTGTTTATACGAATAATTTTATCGTACGAAGATTTATTAACGAACATTGTTCGCTAAATCGTGTTTTTGCGATGTACCTAGAGCCAAAAAAAATATGTTGTTGTTTGATTTCAAAAAAGCAAATAAGCCGTATTTTTCACAATGTTTACACTGTTTTTTCACCGTACCGTTGTGCCGAAATCAATTCTTCGAGTATACATTATGCAAAACCAAATAAAACGAAAAACGACTACCTACCATCATTTTCCATTTCTATACTTATGGGGTTTTTATCATACGCACTGTAGACACCTCGAGTCGAATCGAATTTCACTGTTCATCCGTCTTTGGTATCGAAGACTTACTTCTGGCTCAACAAAGTTATTGAAATAAAACAACCATTATGCATTTCAAATGTGCTGTTATCATTTGCGCGTTGTATTTCGTCACCGTGACACAGGTAAAATTAAATAATAATACTATTTAATATTATCATTGTACTTATGATACTTTATAGAGCATGGGACTCAATAAGGAACAAGTCAAAGAGATTGTAGATCTGTTTAAAAAATACAAAAACTGCGCAGACAAAATTGCTCCACAACTTTGCCCCCGTAGAAATAATGAAAATTCTGATTTTGATTACGACGAAGGTAATTAAGTATCTTATAAACAGATTTTTACCTTTTCGGTTTTATCACAATGTTATCCCTCTCCCCTTTAAATATTAAAAAAAAAATTTTCAGCCGAGTTTGCGACCACCAAAGAGCATTTTCATGTCTCGTTGAAGTATCGAATAAATTTGGACTAGTGGTGGAATTATAGATAATGAAATAGTATATGAACAAAACAAGCTAGTATCTAAGTGGCTAGTAGTAAACATATCAAGTTTCTGGCTAATATTTTAGTGTTTTCATAATATCTGGCCATAAACAATTCATAGAGAATTTGGCCCCTTAAACTATTTTGAATTTATTTTTCAGTTATACATAATTTGATCATTGTGAATACAACACATAATTTAAAATAACAGCTTAACGCTTTTTTGGTAAAACTTTTTTCGGTTATGTGCCAGAGCTAATTCCCACCCCACCCCCATTCCCTCCCACAACCCCAACATCAACCCATTACCAACCCCAACCCCATCCCTCATCTCTTATCTCTTACAACTATCCTATCTCCTATCTCTTACCACCTATCTCTAATCTCTCATCAGATATCAGCGTGAGGCTTTTTTGGTAACACTTTTTTCGGTTATGTGCCAGAGCTAATTCCCAAACCCAACCCCATTCCTTCTCCCACCCCCAGCTTTCTCCCCAACCCCATTTCCGTGTCCGTAACGCATTTTGGTAACGCCAGTTTTTTCGGTTATGTGCCAGAGCTAAGACATGAAATTGTCCAAAAAAAATAGTAAAAAAAAATATCCGTCTTTCCAGTCTTGACAATTAAAAATGATTAATGATTTTTTTCTATTTTATTTTTAACTATAGATAGGCCTAACAATCGAAAAGTAAAAGATCTTTTGGTATACATGGCCGGCAAAGACAAGCCTTTAGATGACTGGAAGGTAATAACAATAGAAAAATATTGAACAAATTCAGATTAATCTGATTTTCTTATTTCCATACACGTTTTTTTTACATAGCTACAAAGTATATCGTCAATCGAAGTACAAATTTACGTGGGCTTGTTTAACAAATTCGACCCGTGGTTCGATTACAGCGGACTACTTAACTACGACGAAGTAAAAAATGTAGTTAAAGCTTTAACTCTTGAAGAAGACGTCAAAAAACAATTAGTAGACGAAATAAGAAAAATATTTAAAGTCTTAATGAAAGATTCAGCTGAAGACTCGTTGATATTTACAACGAGTACTGTATTATTGAGTTAACGAAGCTTTTAATTATTTTTCTTAGGTTGATAATTTGAATTCATTTTTATAGGTGAAACAATGTCCGCCCCGTATTTCTTAATGGCCTTTTTGAAAGTAAAACCAAAAGTAAGGATAGGGTTTCGTTAAAGGCTTGACAAAATACTCATATAACTATGCTTTAGCGTTTAAACATGCCTAAGAAAAATGTATTTTGTAAATTTGGCGCATCATAGCATAAGAAAAAAAAAATTTTTAACTTTATCCGTATACTTAATATTTACATGATTTTAATACTTGTACTTCACTACTACTAGGGCAGAGGATTGAACAAACATCACGTTCAGGAACTAATCCATTTTCATAAGAATAACAAAATAAATGGCGATCAAATTGACCCTGTTGCAATAAGCAAGTTTATCAAGAAGTTATCTTTAGTTCAAGAAGAACACGAAGACGTTTTGGTTTTTGATTCCAGACGTAAGAATATATTTTTGATATCATCTCGTTTATTATTATAGATCTATGCAGAGTTGGCAAAACAACTTTTTATATATGCGAAGCAATAAGAAAATATTATGATTTACTAATTTTCTTATTTGAATTTTTTATGAACAAATTTATCAACACTAGTTGATTGTTTCGAATTATTTGTTAGCAATATTATTCTTTACATGCGATTTATTTATTTTTAAATTAATTGAGATATTTTGACATCTATAAATAATAAACAAATTACGTTTTATTTATAGAGTTTTAAATAATGTTTTATTTATTATTAATAGAATAATTGAAATTACATTAAAATTTTTTTTTTAATTTAAAAAAGTGATTCCCGACTGATTGTATTAATATATGTATTATTTTAATAAAATAACAAATGTGTTTAACATTTTGATTATAGGAAAGACTCCTTTTCAGTTGCAAGAACTGTTGCTTGTTTTAGCAGAATACAACAAAGGGGCCAGCGAAGAAGTAATATGAATAATTTTATTACGATTATCTTTTAAGTTATAATTTAATGAGATGCACACACCCATTTATTAAAAAAGTAAAGTATAGGACATTTTTCTTAAGAGCTTGATTTGTGTACACTCATTAATCGAGCAATAAGGGTTGTTTATTGGTTATAGTTTTTTGATTGTCCGACTATTACAGTAATTACTATAGAAAAACTACATTTTTATTCATTATTAAAGAGTAATCATTTTACCGCGAACCACTCAATAATTCATAAAGTTTATAAGACATTTTTTTTTGTTTTAAAAAACTATTTAAAAACTATTTTTAATGTTAGAGGCGCTTATAAATTAGGACAGGATGGGAAATACCGTTAGTTAGGTAAGAAATAACACTACAATCCACCTTTCCTCCAACCCTATACTTGAAACTTCAATAACTTCAAAAAAAGTTATCCAAAATACTCTTAATTTAATAAGATAATGATAATGTATGTGTTACCATTAAAGTTTCAAAAGTTTAAATAATTAGCTTGGTAGGGAGGTAGTCCAACCATTTTTATAATATTTTATTAAAATAAACAACAAAAAAAAATTATCGGATCTACCAAAATATTGCCATAAATTGAATATGTTCTTCTATTTTACAATGGAAATTCAGTGAACTCAATACAATCACAGCCCATGTCCCATAGAGTATATTTTATTCGCACAATACAAATGACGATAGGTACCGTCCTCTTGTGCACTATATAATCTAAAGAGATACTTTGTTGATTTCTCAGAATGGACCCGTATATTCTACCGATTCAGTTAGAGATCTTTTATTGCATTTCTCTAATTATGACGTCGACAAAAACGGTTTACTCAGTAAGGAAGAACTTAAGAAAATTCAAGAACCTCGATACCAGATCGAAGACGTTGACACTACCTTCAAAGAATTAGATACTGAAGGTAATATTGGAAATTTTAGCGTAAACGAAATCTGCTTAAGTTATTAATACCTATCATTAAGAGTGAGGACGAGCATAGAGTAGGATCTATATACGATATACATGTAGATATATACGACATACATGTAGATACATACGATATGCAAGTAGATTTTAACAGTTATAATTAGTAAAATAAATCTCGAGAAACCGCCATGATAATATCTACATAAAACAAACTTTATTAAATTGAAGATTTTTTCATAAATTATATAAATACAAATATTATAGTAAAGATTTTAAGATGGAAAGAAAAAATGCTTTAGCTTTAGGCCTCTCAGCTCGAACACGATACAAAATAACGACACGAAATAGCGTCACGAAAGTAGCGAGCCTACTTTAAACGTATAATAAAACGAGTCGTCGTCGTCGTAATGTAAACGTTTTGGCCAGAACATAATGTAATTAATCTCAAGGAGATTATAGATAAAAAATAATCCATATTTAGGAGCCACCAAGCTAAAGCATGGTCCATGTTTTTTAATTTTAGCCATTAGGTTTTCGGTAGACTGTAACTTTTTTATTTAAACATCTTCATGATTTCAACGCGAGGGGGATGAAGTAGTTTTACAATTGTAAAGAGTGTTGTCAGAAAAATATTGCTTTTAATTCAACAATAGTTAATATGTAATTATAGTGTGTTCAAGTCTGCTGAAGTAGATCTAGAGACAAAATAAAATAAATTCCTTAACTTAAAATATTGTACTTTTTAGACGACGAACATTTGTACATTACGGAGTTCTTCATGGCGGTATTCGTGGAGCGTGACCGAAAAAACGCTATAAAGGACTAAGTGTTTTAAGTGAATTAATTATTATTTTAAACGTTTTACATACGTATTTTAGATCTTTATCATTTTTATGTTTTACGATTCTTTTAGAGTATAATTTACACATATTTTATTATCCTTTAGTATACATGATTTTCATATTCTATAAGATATTATTTTAATACGTTTGTTTTTGTGAATTTCTAAAATTATTAACTTTTAATGCAATACCGTTAAAATGATATTTTTATTTAGAAATCATTATATAATTACCTATCCTATGTTTTGGAAGTCATATATTTCCTGAACAGCCCAAAAAAAACAAGCTATAAGTCTTTAGTTGTTGACTAAAAAGAAAAGCGTGGGCTCTATTCAACAAAGTCCCTAATAAATTTATCAGATAAATTTCAGATAATGTTTTATATTGTATTTTTTTTTTGTTATTTTAAGTTTAGTTAAATTTTAGTGTGTGACACATACATTTCAAAATTATTTAATTCGATGAATGCAGAATTGGTTGAATAAGGCCACGCTCTTGAGTGAAAAATACTTAAAGATGTTCAACATTATTCAAAATTGTAGTTGATTTTCAGTTGTTTTCTAAGTAATTAAAATTTTTTAAAAGGGCTACAATTGATTGTTAAATTGTTCTTGTGGTAAAATTATTTTTTACTTTTTAGTTCACTTTTTACTATATTTTAGAGAAGCATGTCTTTATAAGTTTTATTTTTTACTTTTTAGTCCTATCAAGTACCTTTATACTTAATAATTGTGAATATATTACTAAATTCATTTTGGCGGATTTGAAAAAACATGAAATTTCAGTGAAATGACCCCACATATTCCCCTGTGTACGGCGACCAGAATGTCCGAGTCTCAATATGATTTCAGGATATTGTATTGTCATCCGAGATGAGTGTCTGTGCCAAGTTTCAACACTCTACAACATCGGGAAATGGGTTAAATTAATTTTGCAAGATTTGAAATACACCCGTACAAACGTGTTGGCGAGTTAAAGAAAAGCATATAAAAAAAACAGTAATATTATCAATAGTAAGTACTATGTTTAAAGAATATTCCATACAAATTTGGCACTAATTCGATCATTTAAAAAAAAAAGCTTTCAAGCACCGTAATTTTTAGTTAAAAAACATGTACAGTCGTTAAAGGGGTTCACCTCAGTTTTTAAGGGGAAGAGGTGATTTTTACATTTTTAGCCTGATTAAGTACCATACAACTTACAAGTACGGTTTTTGGGCTACACGCACAAATGATAAAACGAATAATATTTACAATACATTATTGTAAAAACAATACCTTCTCAATTCAAATCATTAAGGGTTGCATAGAAAATCGGTAGTTTCTTAAGAAAATAAAATAAAAATACAGATTATTATGACAATTGTTCGAAAATTGTTAGCGCGTTAAAATGTTTAACTTTAAACACTTGTAAATTATATGTTTTCGATACTTTTTGGTCTGAATCAATATTCAAAATTTAATAATTGATAAAAGTAGTATTATAGGAATTATTTTAATATGAATTTCTGATACAAGCTGTCAAAATTACAATAACTGCTATTATCATATTCAATAAAATATAAATTTTTAACAAACAAAATGAGGACGGGGCACTAATGTGTTTAGCGTGAACGGGGTCGTTACTATGACGTATCAAATGAATAGAACTTAAGATATTACATTAATTATAACAAATAAAAAACCAACAAAGTAGAGTAAAGAAAAATGTACAACACAAAACATTTTGGAACAAATCCAGTGTAGCTAACAAGTATTTTTTTTTTTTTTAAGATAAAGCCAATGGCGATTTTAGATCAGTGGTCACACACAATTTTTACGCTATAGTTAAAATAAAACTATTTTACAAGATGTTATAATCATGTAATGCAGAAAAATCTAAAAACACCATCGACTTTAGCGTACGAAAGACACATTTTGAAAATTACCCGAGGTTAGGTTAGGTTAGGTCAACTTATACTTACAAGTACACCAATATTGATTATTTGACTCGCCCACTGTAGTTCGTGTATTTCACGGTGGTAGTTCTAGGAAAAATATTTCAAGCACACGCCACACTGGTAGTGATTATCAAACAAATGTAACGTGTGTTTAAAGCATTCTCCTCAAAAAAATACATCTGTGCAAGTCGACTGAGTAAACTAATTCCGACACGACACTTGTATATGAATGAGTAGAATTTTTTATTTTCAGTGTTAAACTGTGCACCAATATTGACCTGTGGACTGGAGTTTGTGTATTTCATGGTAGACATTTTGAGATATAACTTTAAGCACACTTCACATTGGTAGGACTTACTAATAAACAGGTGTAGCGAAAACACTTTTACTACCAATGTGAAGTGTGCTTGAAAGTATTTTTCTCAAAAAAGACATCTGCTAAGTTAAGTGTAAGTTGTAATTTTGCTATCCATCTATGTTTATAATTACATTTATTTGCTCATCCCATTGTGTCTTTTGACATTAGGTATTATATGTATAACTCTTGCCAAACAACAACTAGCTTGCTTAACAAGAAGAGGACTCACAACCACGAAATAACAAAAAAATGTTTTTATTCTAAATTACAAGTAAAATTGTTGTGTATTTTCAAAAATTTCACCTCACCTGAGTGTATTTCAGCACAATTTTATTTTTAGGACTTTTTCTGGCGCATGTGTTTTATTTTCTTCATCATTGTAGACCGTCATTTTGTCACAAGTAGTTGCCCTTTTTTTTCAATTATTGTACATTTGCATGTTGCACTAAAAATATCATGTATTTCTACTAAAAAAAAAAAAAAGGTTTATTAGTTATCTCTAAAAAAAAATAATGTTTTACAATAAACATAAATGGTGTTTTCAGATATTTTTGGTCATACTTAGTTTTTGGAGTTATAGACAAAAACAATTTTTTAACAAGTTATTATTCATGTTTATAGCTAAAAAAAACGAGAACTAAACTAGATTCATTGTAATACTAAATATGTAATAGCTGTATTTCTAAAGCTTTATTTTTATTCACAAAAAAAAAAAAAAATTGAATTATAAAAAATCAAAAAGTAATTAAAACTACACCTAAGAGAAGACACAATTAAAAATGTTTGAATGTAAGTTTTACACGCTTATTGACTCATGTACTGAAGTTTGGGTAATTCATAGTAGATTTTTTAAGAAAACTATTTTAAGCACACACTACACTGGTATGATTATCAAATAGGTGTAACTGAATACAGTACTACCAATGTACGGTGTGTTTAAGGTATTTTTCTCAAAAACGACATTTGGCAAGTTGACTGATTAAACAAATCCTGACACACCACAAAATATAAAAATATTATTTTTTATACCTACTATAATAAAACTCACGTTACTATACTTTATCATAAAAATAAAATACCCTTGAAGGGGCAAATTGTTAAATCTATGTGTTGAACTGTGCGCTTATTGACCTATTTACTGGAGTTTGCATGTTGCATGGTAGACATTTTGAGAAATATACTTTAAGCATACTTCACATTGGTAGGGCTTAAGAAATAGGTGTAGAAAAAACACTTTTACTACGTGAAGTATGCTTGTGAGTATTTTTCTCAAGTACTTATATATATTATAAGCTATATTGTATCTGAAGAACCGCAATTGATTTTTAATTCTTCGATTTTCCATTGTCAGCTGATACTTTTTGTACGTTTCATTTTGAGATTTTCAATAAAATCTTAAGCATTCCTCAATTATTTGTTTAATGTTTAATTTGTTAACTTCTTTGCTGCTTTTTCTAGAAACACTAAAAAAAACATTCCCTGTATTAGAGAGTTATTTAAACTGTACAAATTATTTTTAGGAATTATTATAGGAAATAGCCCAGCTTGTATAAATTACTTTTTGTATTATGAATCGATCCGATCAACTCACCGATGCAAATGTTTTATTACCAAAATATTAATAACGTCAATATACAAAGGCAATAATAAACATATATAATTATTTTAATATTCTATTAATTTTTGTTTTTTTATCTAATGTTTTTAACATATTATGGATTTTATTATAATATTTAAAAAAAAATGATTTATCAATTATCAAGAGGCGTGTGCTTATAAGATTTTCCAAAAAAAATTTACCTCACCTTAGTATTTTTGTTGTATTTATTTTGGAAATGTTTTCTGGTAACAAAAACTTAATGTAATTTCTTACTTATAACTTGTAATGACTCAAATTTAACAATAAATATGATATTTTGAAATCAGATGAATCATTTTAAAAGCCTTGTATAGATAAGCCATACCTATATTTTACTATAATTTTCACATTTTTTTCATGTAATTTAAAACAATATTGGGAACAAATTTACTTTACCGGACACCCTTTTTTTGGCGAATCTTATTTTGTCTTATTTTAGTGTTTTATTCTGGTTACGAATCTAAAATCAGAAATCGGCAGACGCATCTAGTTCAAAAGTTATAGCTACTTTAACTTTTCCACATTAACACTAGGCGGCGGGGAGCAGTAGCGGCTAGAGACCGTCGTTGTACCATGCAGCTATTGTCGGCGACGCAACTCGAGGTTGAAAAAATAACCACGAAGGGCAGAGAAATAATCATTTTTCATACCTACGCTCAATACAATTATATTTCTAATTGAGATTTTTCATTCTATTGAACTAGAGGAGCCTGCCAATTTCTGATATCAGATTCTTATTCAGTGTAATAAACATATTATGACAACAACATAAAAAGGGTATCCGGTAAAGTACACTTATGACCAATATTGTATTTTTAGACGATTAGTCAACATCCAAATCATAGTCTCATAGAACTCATTGACCACCCAGCGTACAGAACCGTCTCGAGAATTTTTAATGTTATTAGTGACAATAGCTTATAACTGTGTTTTTTTAAATTTAATTTACATAGCAAAAGACTTAGTTGTCAGGTTAGGTTTGTTGTATTATTTTCCACTTGCTTGCCGTGCGTATCGCACGTTTTTTTATCCGATATTTTAATCGGAAATAAGCAATAATTATTAGGAAAGTGTTATTTAAAACGGTATAGTTCAAAAACATTATATTTTACCTGGATCTGGAATTGTTGACAATTTTTTGCGGGTAGTTCCTGTAACTGGTAAACAGGAGATGTATGTACATCTTGTAGATAATATAAAATTATTGTATATTATTATCAAACCAAAGTACACCAAAAATCCATAATAACTGAATGAAATACAGTTTAATTGAAAACAAAACTGTTATCTGAAAAATATTGTTAAATCTTAGGTAGGTACGTTAGCACATAGAAAAAGTAAATAACCGTTAACCAATGTGAAATGTCTGAGAGCAGAGAGGAGCCGACTGCTGCCGTCCGACGTCCCTTCAATAAATTGGTTCCTCCCTTCTACAGTGCAGCCATATTAGATAACATCCGTTTTTATATAGTCTTTGGTAACGACCCCATAATTTGTGTTATACCATGTTAACTAAATCATCCTTATCAATGTGCCTCTGTGCTTATCAGTTATCACTTGTAAAATTATGAACATTATCATTCATCAACTAATATATATTATCGCATCAATAACATGGGAATCGGTTCGGCATATTTAAAATTTTATTTTATATTTAAATTGAAACGTCAAAAATTTCGTCAAAGCAAAGTGGAATATAGCCGGTACCTCTCTATAATTACTCTACCTTGTGCTGCACCCGGCGACTAATTTAGATACGTTTTTATACATATTATTATAAAAAAAGTTGTAAATAATTGTGCAACAATTACTATAATAAAATAGTTCTATGTTGTACAATAATCAATATTATTCATTTTTATAAAAAAAATAACCTCTCGCAAACGCCTTGTTGAGTTAATAATTTTTAAAAAAACCTGTATTTAAAATTAGTACCAGCTATTAAAAAAGTTACCTTTTCAAAAGTATCTTTTCCAGTACTAGATATATACCCAATATAAATAGTAATAAAAATATACCTCATAAATACTTTATAAAAGATATTATCAGTAAGTAACTTTTACCATATTATTTTTTAAAAAAATAACTATTTTTATAAATACAAACAATTATTTAAAATTCCTTTATTAAATTTAAAAACTAGGAAGTAGAATTGGCTGTTGTATAAAAAATAGTAAAATTACAAACAAGGCGATTAATTTGACGTCTAATCACCAGTTGGCTTTTATTAAATAGAATTTTCTAGTTTCTTCAAGACAACTAGATTTAGAAATAATATAGTTGTTTATAAAAAATATATAAATCAATAATAGGATTTTGTTTTTCCAATCAGTTTGCGATTAATTAATGTAGATAGGAGCAAAAGAATTATTAGTTATCAAAATATTATATTATGTTCTGCTATAATAAACTCAAATCCAATAAATATAGTTATGTTTAGAAAATAACAACACTTATATTATACTATAAGTAAATTGAAAATACATAAATAAAATGATTAAAAATAATAATGTAAAATATCCAGGAGCTGCCTCTTTACTCAATTCAGTTAATGCTAACAAAAATGTATGTCAACTTTTAACAACAATAAAAGTAAACTTAATAAATTTTCTTATAAAAACCTACAAAACTATTATTATATTTCTAGAGAGGTGAACACTTTTTTCAAATGAAGACATGGATATTGTATGGTATGTTCGATATCGGTGTCGTCCCATAAAACATCATCGCTTGATTCTGCTCGTGCCCTTTTAATCGTAGCGACAATAGGCTCAGTTGTAAAGTGTTCTTCTGATATCGGCATCAGGTTTTTTAATTTATGCCTATAAATGTTAACACGATGGTAGTTACTACCAGTCTGTTACCACTTACCAAACACACAAATTTACACTAACCAAATTCGTCGGTTGACAACAGCAAAGATTTTGGATAAGGGGAAACCATTAAACGTACAGGCGACGGGTATGGTGTATGCTCCCAAATTCTCAAATGTAATCCAATCGCCCATATGCATCCGTGGCAAATTAATGGAATCGACTATTATGTCCAAAGCACCGCCAGTTGGTCCCCATAGAGAACTCTTGACTACTGGGCTCGCTGAATTTTCCTAATCAAACATAATTTCCAATACATAAAAAATACCAACGAAAACGTAAAGTGTATGTAATTCGTAATACTTACAAACAGTGGCTTGGGCGGCACCAAAGTTGACTGCTCGAGAATAGGGCCTCTAAATGACCCGTAAAATCCTTCGTTAATAAAATACATTATGTGTTCTTCGTTTGGACGGTTCTTGATCGAATAGATTTTGGTAGCTAGAGTAAAAGCTGTTTCCGCAAAATATCTGCCCGGTTCTGCGATAATAGTCACACCACTTGAAGGCGGAAACCATTCGTTCAGAGCATCATTCACTATATCGGAAAACTAAAAATGATTTATTATTATTATTTTAAATGATTAAAGGTCATATGATAAATAAATAATTGGACTTACTTGTTCTAATGAAGAATTCTTGTTTCCTAAAAAACCGCCGCCAATATTTAGCACGTACATATTTGAAAACCCTAGTTGTTCGGCAAGACGGAAAATGGACGCCGAAGCGGAAATAGCCCGTCGGAAAGCAGTAGGTTCGGTGCAGCCAGATCCCACGTGAAAACTAACGCCCACGACGGACAAATCTAAATCTCGAGCCAACGATAACAGTGCCGGAGCTTCTGTATAAGGATCACAACCAAACTTCACACCAAGTGACAATAGAGATGAAGACGCGTCGCAACGAATTCGGATGACTAATCTAGAATATAAAAAGTAATAATCATTTAGAAATGTTTGACATAAACATTTGGCCATAAGCAAAAATTACATACTTGCAAGATGGATGAATGGACTTGATCTTGTAGAGTTCTAGTTCATTGTCAAATGTTGTCAAGTTGACACACTGACTCATGGCGTATTTAATATGTGAAACCATTTTGATCGGATTAGCAAATATGATCCGAGACGGATCAACTCCCAAATCCATTACTTTCTTTATCTCGACCTGAAAATAATCATTACATTTTCATATTCAAGGCACTTAAAATATTTCACATGCGATAAACATTTACTTTTGAAGCACAGTCGAAACAGAGACCTAACGCTGCTAGAGTTTCCAATAAAAGTAAGTTGTCGTTGCATTTTACAGCTGTAAAAAAAATAAAAGACAAAGTAATGATAAGAAACACATTGCAAAAATTAAATATAAACATTTTTTTTCAATATTACTTTCATAGTTATTGAGTAGTTCTTTACTAGATCATAATATGTATAATTTATTAACAATTACTGTGTTATAAAGATCCAAAAAAATACTGTTGTTAAAATGTTTTAACATTTTTGGCCATGTACAAATAATAATGAGTTAATTGTTTACTTGTATTCACGATATTAGTTTCAAAAGAAAGGAAACCACATATTTTCTGTAGTGGTATTGTAGCAACACCCACCCATCTAATTTATTATTACTTAGAATACACTAAATGAGTTCTAAATAAGTACAAATGTTTATTATTGGCTGTTGTTAATTTAAAATATATATTAGGCATTAGCAGTGGTGTAGTTGTAAGGTATCCTTATGACTAACCTCTGTATAATAGCTATAAGCATTACAAACATCTATAATATATTTTGATATGTATATTTATACAAGTTGTAATTTATTATTATTGGCCTTTTTTATTGGTTGACAATATGTCCTAGGAGTTAAAATAAAAAAGATTGATAATGAATCAATCGGTGGTGAAATTGCCTATCCGGTTATTCTTCGACAGTTAATCCCTAATTATAAAATTTGAAAAAACTCAATACAAATAAATATCGTTCAAGATTCAAAATGAAAAATGTTTATAACTATGATGAACTAACCGAAAAAATTTCAGTTGGTTTAGTTTTTTCTTTTTAATAATTGATATTAAAATAGTTTTAGAACTATGGATGAACTTTGATTTGAATTAATTTCAATATTATAACAATCATTCCAGAAACAACAAGAATTGTGAATATAACTTACGTATAACCTGTACATTATTTGTAAATATTTGTTTTCAACATTCGTATGCGTTCTTTAGAAGTGATTATGTGTTAATGTTTAATACTACAAATACAAATTAAGATAAGGGCTATAATACCTCCATTGAATATATTATTATTTTCATTTACACATCAATGACATACTTTTTGGTTTTACAATAAATTATTTTTTATTTCTTCACATAAATTATTAATTTTATTTCATTGAGACGTTTTTGTTTTATTTCTTATATTTAATATAGTCTTGATTAACAACCTTACCATAAAAAGGTTTCACACGAGGCATTTGTTCCTTCCATATTTTAACTTTGTTTACAAGATCACCAATATCAAATATATAAAACGCATCAGCTTTTTCCTGAGAATAAACCACAGGCGTTAACAAAAAAAAGATAAAAGTCGTTCAGAAAAAGATTATAAAACACTTACCTTTGATCTAACTATATCTCTAATGATTTCTTTAACAGTGACATCATTATCAACAACATGGATTTTTTCTTCAAGTCCACAAATTCTCATGCTTATTTTGCTAGTGCAATGCAACTTATGCTTGATATAATATAATACTGTTAGTCAGCAAATCAAAGAGGTAAACTGTAAAACGAAAAAACGGTTAAACTTTCCGTAAAACAATTTCCATGGTGTTTACCAAAACACATTATCAATTATGCTAATAATTTGTACTTAGTATATTAAAAAAAAAACATAATATAGACTCAAGTTTTAATAATTTGATTTTAATTATTGTAAAATATAGATGACACATAAGCATTAGCAGACTTTAATGGCTATTAAAGACTGATTTTATGATACAGTGTATAATATCAGTATTGATATTACACTTGTTAAGTATAAAAATATAGAATGTTATAAATCGCCCAAATTAAATCATAGTACAAAGTACAAATATTTGAGTTAATGTAAAGCAGGAAGTAACGTCATAATATATAAATTGCATTCTATTGATACTGGCAAACCCTGTTTTACACTACAAATTAGGGGTGGGTAGCGTCCTCTCAATAAATTTTACATGAATAACCTAATTATACCCTGTTCGCTGAGAGAGCATGCCGGGTTTGTGCATGTAGACTGAAGACTAAGCAGCAAGACTAAGGCTACTCCAGGGGGAACGCTAGTCACACTGAGTGCGGCGCGGGATGCGCAGAACAGCCAATTTCGTCGGGTCGCGCCATGCTCTCTAACAGGGTATAGCTTATGTCATCATAATCTACAATTTATTAAAAAAGTATTAATATAACTATTATGTAAATATGTAATACTATATGTATATATAGTGTAATTCCAGACGATATTATATTAAAAAAAACTAAGAATTTATGGGAACTACTTACGAGGCACCTTAGTAGTGTTATTTTAGGCAACAGCTTAGCAGTCGATTCCGTTTCCTATGGCTAGGCGATTTACCAGCTGACACTGTCCCTGTAAATTAATTTAGGCTAAATAAGTACCTAAAATGAATAATAATAAGAACAATAAATAAATCATATTCATATTGTTGATGAGTAATAAATCAAAATATCCTACCCAGGTATTGTAAAATGTACAATAGGTAATGGCATAATATTTAGATAAAATTGTTTATATATATATATATATATATAAAATAAGAACCAACTTTATCTGCAGATAAATGCATTCATCAGTCAAAGCTTGATTGATTTATCTTAACGTCATATATGTGTAATAAAGATCAAAGGCTAACTTTTATCTAGCAACTATCTTTTATACATATAAACTATATTACAATGTTTTTTTATCCTCCCTTCATTAATTAAGGTGTTCTGTAAAAGCATTTTTATATAATATTATATTTAATAAAAGGTGTAGTTAAATTGTCTTGAAGAAGAGAGCTGGTCAAAGATAAAATTAAAAACTGATCTTTGGTTAAAATGAACATGTAATATTTTTACTTAAAAAAAATGTAATGGGTCAATCCATACGCAATTGACCCAATATTTTTCACTTAAATTACAAATATTACTTCCTATATCTTTATTTCAATATAACTAAGTTAATCATGTAATCTTATAATACCTAAAGGTCAAAGGTGTGCTTACACAATCAGTTACATCAGACTGTATAAAAAAAATTGGACGTGTAATTAAAAACCAAAGGATGTGTAGTTCAAAGTGAATTTTCGTTCATGCAATGCCTGAAAAAAATATTGCACCAACAAAATACACAAAAAAATTGTTAACCTCTTAAAATGTTACTTAAAAACATACTGTTCAAAACTGCACAAAATATAGAAAAAAAACTATTCAGACAGTCAAATTGCTTTTGACATTTTCTGAGTCAAGCTAAAATGTACAATAAACAATATACAAGAAATAAAAAAAATTTGTATTTTTTACCTAAAAAAAAAAAAGTTTTTCCTAATCAAAAAATAAAATGAATAATTAAAAAAAAATTTAGTTCACTTAATAAAATATTATGTGTCTTGTTAAAATTAATAAAACAAATTTTTGAAATGCTACACAGCAGTTAAATTGTCAATAGTTGACGACATAATAATGCCTATACGACTACAACTTTAACAAAAATGGTCATTTTTCAAATAAAATTTTTGTCTACCATCACTATGTGTATTTTAAACTTGTGTTCAAATTTCAAAAATATAGACTATATTTTCTCAATACTACTCATAATTTACCTTTATTAATGTGTTATCCCCTTAGTGCTTTTAATGTTTAATTAACTTCTTGTTACCTATTTCAATAACTATTTGCGTGGTGGCAATAATACTGCTTTCAACCTTGCATGGACATTTATTTTTCTTTTTTCATTTTCTAACAAAAAACATGGTAAATACCACTTACACGGGCGCTCCAAGTTTAATTTATTTTTAGTTAAATAAAAATATAGTAATACTTATTTTAATAATTTATTTATCATGGTAGATATACCCAGTATATTATTAGCATTACTTTCTACAGCAATGGAGGTTTTAGATGTTCAGAGTTAAGAGTAGATTTGTTCATAAGGTTTTTTGACAATTATTATAAGTCTTACCGCGCTGATAAAATTTATATTTTTTTAATTTCCTTATAATTGTAGTTTTTTAATTTTTAGATAATTTAATATTGTATTTATAAGTTATGTAATAATATGTTTGTGGTTAAATCAAGCATATTTTTGTTTTACCAGTTAGAAAGATTGTCTATTATTTTTTAGAAAACTATAGTTTTTATTAACAAGTTACTTTAAATCACAAAAATATCTATAAAAAAAAATGATCGTAACAATGAAAAATCCTTTATAACATTAGAACTTTAATTATGCATGACTGCACACAATATATAATTCCATAATTAACTCTATTTCATTGACTTTGAATTTTGTATTTTTCTTACAAAATATTTGACTTTTTAAGGCCTTTTACTATATGTATTTTTTATATACAAATGTATATTAAACTATATCAAGTTACTGTACGCTAATTAAAGAACAATGATTATGAATTTAAAAATTGTATTAATGAATACATTTTATTCAACTATAGAATTATATATGATGATAGGTAAATATTATATTATAAATAATAAATAAAAAAAATTATGTTTATTACAATCTCATTGGAAAAGATATGATTAATCTGCTCAATAACTAATTTAAAATATGTATCTTAACAGTAACATAAAGCAATATTGTGGCCACAACCATAATTCTCACAACAGTCTTAGGTTCTGTACATAATAAGCTGTACATAATTTACAACCAATATAAAATATAAAATAATAAATAAAAAAAAATGTTTTTAAATGTTTATCTAGTAAAAGACACTTATTGCAAATTGTTAAATGTATAGTGTTCAATTAGTCTATGAATGTATAGTGGAGTTTGTATATTTCAAGTTAAGAGTTTTGAGAAAATCACTTAGCACACATCACACTGGTAGTATTTATCAAATGAATGTAGCCGAAACCATATTACCTACCAATGTAATGTGTGCTCAAAGTATTTTTCTCAAAAACCACATCTCATTAGGTCATTAGGTGAGTGTGATACCTGGTATCCCGTTGGTCCTTTTGTCGAAAAAGGCTTAAAGCACATTCCACATGTGTAGGTGTACGTAAATGTTGCTAGTTTTTCTCGCTTGTCTGCTGATTTTCTTGTGCTGCTTGTCGAATGTCAAAGTATTATGCAATGATTTCTTTTATATTTCTTGATTTTCGTCATGATACTCAATTCAATTACACTACAAATCATATTTCATGTCAAAATAGCCATCAAAGTATTGTGAAAACACAAAGGGACAAAGAGATGAAAAAAATTTAATACCACTAGATAATATTATTTAGATTATGATATACTTTTACCATTGGTACGAGATTAATTAGTAAGATATTATGTATACATTTTTTTTAAAAAAACATTAAAAGAGAGGACAAATATACACATGTGTTATGTTAAAATGTATTGCTTGAGGTAAAACATTACCTGTATGCATTTTCTTCAATTTTTTTTATAAAAAAGTAGTTTGGGTTGTTAAACTACAGTGCAATCTGTCTTCACATTGTTCAACAAGTCAGTGGTAAGTTATGTGTTCCAATGTTCATCTGCTTCTTCTACTTCAACCTTGTTTTCGCAGTCACAATCTCCCAATTCAATTTTTATAATTGGCTCAAAACATGATTCATTGAAACTAAAAGACAAAGCATATTTCAAATAGAACATTTAAATATAAAATATGCTGTTCAAGATAGCTTCATTAGAATTGAAGAAATTTTTACTTTAGTTTGTTTTCTCATTTTGACAGTTAACATAGAATAAATTGTGTCAAAAGTACTATCTCGTACACATTTTAATAAATAGTGATTTATCAGGTTAATCAAAACAACATTGTTGACGTAAAGAAATGTTAAAGCATTTTACTAAATAAAAAAATAAATATGTTACTTTAAAATCACATTACCTGCCATTACTTTTGTTAAAATATTGTGGACAAATCTGGGTTGTCGAACTACATTTGTCAGTATTTTCAATGTAGTGCAACTTTGTATCCATTGATAAGTCAGTGGTTGTACTCAACGGCTTATTTTCTTCTACTTCTGTTATGTACTCATTGTAACAATTGCCTGTTAAATGTACTTCTATTTTAATTTCCTGCTCTTCCTGTGTTTCACTTATACTAAAAACCGAAACAAATTATTATCGGAAAAATTTCAAGTAAACAATGTACTCCAAAATTCATACATTTTAAACTTACTTTGGCAAATAAAACTGTTCAAATTGGTCCAAGTCATTTTCCATTTCTTGTTTTAAGGTCATACAATTTTGTTGTTTTTTAACCTGCTCTAAATTGATAAAAAATTAACCATAAATTTCATATATTTATGTGTATATATTTACATCAATATCATTGGCAATATATTATATGTAATTGGCGAACGAGCAAAAGATATACTAGACAGGTTATAGCTAAAAGGCTGCCTAGTTTAGGGTTAGTTCCCTATCTAGTAATGTCTTTCACGCTGATTACAAAGTTATAGCTACTTTAACCCTAAAATTGATCATTGCGCGAGACATCCATTCAATATGGTCTGTTACGCTGTGCATGATGAATAAAAAAAGGAAACGTAATACAACTTGGCAAGTGATTATCAACCTAACGAACCTGAACAGAGACTTCCAATCAAACTTTCAAAACAACAAGAAAATATACATAAATTACCGATAGACATAGAAATAAAGGGCCCGGTAAATTACATTTTTATCCAACTATTTTCTTATTAATTATTATAATTATATGTCTTTCACGGCGGAATAATCAAACACTTCAGTGGTTTTCTTTTTTTTTTTTTTATAGTAGAATAATAATTGACAAGGATAAATGTAATTTAGTACTCATATCTCCGTAGTTTTACTTACTTTTTTTTTTCTCTTTCTTGCAAGTATCTTTGTCTTCTTTGTAATATTTTTTCTGTAAACAAAAGTAAATTGGTTGTCTTTTTTTACTTTTTTTTTTGTCGATAGAATTCATTTTATTATTTCCGTAAGTTGACGATTAAAAAAAAAAAAAACAAGATAACGTTAAATATAATCGACTTGATCATCGTAGGTATTAAACTATTACGGTGTTAGCATTCACAGAACTTATTAAAATACAAATTTTAGAAAATAGCAAATCTGAAAACATGGTGAATTTAGAGGTCAATAAACAAAAAAACCTTTATCATTCACCGGTACGACCATAGTTACAACCACGGTTATAGATAAACCGTTATCTATAACCGTGGTTGCAACACAAAATAAACAGAATGGAATCTTGGGGCTTATCAAAAAACGCCAGTGAATCCAGCACTCCGGTGTTTCCTCGTTTTTAGTTTTTCTGTGGCTTACGGCTACACGGTTTATTAATTAACGAAAAATGAGAATTTCCCTACGCCTATCAGCGCTGTCCGTTTCTCAATCGTATTCAAAAAGTCGGACATGACTTTACCTTGTCCCATATAAGAATTAAAACAGTTTAAGATGGATTTATAAATCCACCTTGGGATAGTTTCTTTTCTGTTTATTCTGTGGTTGAAATATACTATGTATGTATGTTCAATTGTGGGTACGACATGTATCATTCGAGGTACGCTGGCAATGATAATTGATAAGAGCGACCAGGTGTTCCCAAAGCGCAAAAAAACACTTGGAAATTTTCTCCCTGTCCCGAGTCCTTAAGCAGTTAGAAAAATATTTCAATTCTTTTGATACCTTAGGTTTTAGTCACATTCGAAAGATAAAAACATCTACTATAACACTATGTCCCTGGTGGTTATAATTACTCATTATTCTATGAAGTCACGGACATAGAATATTCACAAATTTCATAAAATCAAACTGGTCGAATGTTTCATTTTAAACTTGTATGTAATAGTAATTGATACTCTATGGTGGAGCTTGACTTTGGTTTTTGTTTCATCTCTCGTTTAATTGTCACCATAAAAAAAAAAATTTAATGAACCAGAGCGATTAGGAAATAAAACTACATAAAATATTTACTTATCTATTATAAAATAGCCGCCCAAAGGGATAATGTAGAGTGAACTCAAAATTCAGGCGAAAACAAACAATAAATAAAAAAATAATAAAACATAAATTGATTAATTGGTAGTGTACAAGTAAAATTATATAAAAAATAACTATACAGTTAAAGTATACCGCTATGGCAAACGTTGTGCGGAAACATGTACACAATGATCGATTATAAATAAATATCCAGCAAGTTATCCGTAAACCACACTTGGAAACTAATGTAATAGTGACAGTTTTGGAATTTATAAAATTTTCTTACGGTAATCATTTGTAAAGAAATAAACATAAATTCTCATCGTTTGTACCCCTGACGTTTTTTTTTATTATAATACAAGTGGGCGAAAGCAAGCATACATTTGACCGTAGTTAAATACATAGGTAATATACCTTAGGACTAGTGCGCCGATACAAAATAAACCACTGGATAGTGTAACATACACAATAAGATTTAGACATATTATACATTAACAATTATTATGAAAACATATTAAATATAAACCAAGTACATTTAAACACATAATGTATCAAATCAATAAAGCTTAAAATATTATATTAATTTTATGATTTTGAGTAAACAAAAAAAATTACAACAGAAAGTATAAAGGAACATAATATCTGGTTTGTACCCAAAGCGCTTCTTTCGTTTAGTATTTTTATTAAAGGTGTTTTCAGATTTTTCTGTTTGCAGTTTTTGAATTATAAAAAAAACTACTCAACATACTTAAGCATAACACGTCATTCTAAAAATCGCTAAAATTATACCAATACAAAATATATATAAGCTGTACATTATACATTACAACCAATATAAATATTGAGTGATAAATTTAAAAAAAATAACTTTTTTAAAATGTTTATCTAGTGAGACACTTTTTACAAATATTTAAATGTAAGAGTGTTCAATTATTAACCTATTAATCCGAGTGCTGAAGATCGAGCATCTTACGTTAAAAGTTTTGAGAAAATCACTTGGCACACATCACACTGGTAGTTTTTATCAAATGAATATAGCCGAAACTGTATTACCTACCAATGTGACGTGTGCTCAAAGTATTTTTCTCAAAAACCACAACTCATTGGGTCATTGGATGTGTGTGATACCTGGTGTCCCGTTGGTCATTTTGCCGAAAAAGTCTTAATGTTTATTCCACGTGTGTAGCTCTCACCGTTTGTGTCCCTACGTTTTTTTTTTATAATATGTCATGTGTATGATCATGTAAACCATCGACTGTTATAAAATAAAATCTATAACTCTAAAATAAATGGCTAGGCTAAGGTACTGTAATACGCAAGAACTTTTATATTATACATTTCTAATCATGATACAATATTGAGTAAGAACAAATACATGTAAACATACGCAACAAATGAAAATAATATAAAATATTACATTAATAATAATAAATTTAAAAATATTTAAAACGAACAAAACGGAATACAGAAAAACGTAAAAACACAAAATATTAGGGAAAAATTTAATTTAGCTTCTGAGAGATTTTTTTTTTAATTAGGATGTTTGTGATAAAAAATTTGAAAATACCATCGTTTTCATGCTTAAAATATACACACATTTGAAAATACATTTTTAATGACTATTCACTTATGTACTTAAGTTTGTGTATTTTCAGTAGGAATTTTGAACAAAAGACTTGAGCACACATCACACTGGTAGGGCTTATCAAATATATGTAGCTAAAACATAACCTACCAATGTGATGTGTGCTTAAAGTATTTTTCACAAAAACGCATATGATTAGGTTAGCTGATTGTTCGATTTTTGGAATGCAGTTTATTTTGATTTCAAGTTTGTTTAATTTTCCAGCGGATACATTATGTTCTTTTTATTCTGTGATTTTTGATCAAATCTAAACGTTTTAATTTGTGTCAAAATATTATGTTAACATATGCGTAAAATAAATAAAACATAAAATATAAAACTAATCAAACTAATAAATTACAAAACACAAAATTTTGAATTTCTTAAAGATATATTTTTATTTTCAAACAATTATAAAATATCGAAACATAAATTAACTCATTTATAAATCATTTGGATTTTGAAGACATTAATTAAAAAAGAACTAGTTAAAACTAAACTAGCATTGTTGGACTATAGATTGTAGCAAAAATGTTTGCGGAAATTTCATATTAAACTGAACCATTTTTTTATCATCCTGATTTTTTATCCTATTGACCAGTGTGCTGTAGTTTGTATGTTTTGAAGTAAGAGTTTTGAGAAAATCACTGAGCATACATTACACTGGTAGTACTTATCAAATATTACCTACCAATGTAACGTATGCTCAAAGAAGTTTTCTCAAAACTAGATCTCATTAGGTCATTAGGTGTGTGTGATACCTGGTATCTCGTTGGTCATTTTGTCGAAAAAGTCTTAATGTTTATTCACTACACCTACGCATGTGGAATGTGCTTAAACATTCCACAATACTCTTTTTAAAATAAAAACTGTGGAAATGATATAAACCTAAAACTATTTAAACGACCTCCTATGCCTGCCAGCTCCAGGAACTAACTTCGAGCCCCTTTCAAAAGGATGGGAGCTCACGGCCCAAACCCCCAGAGGAAAAAATAGCTTGCATAAAGAAATAAACTAACCTGATACTTCACTCTGAAAACGTCAGTGATCTAATGATACCAAACCTAACCTAATCTACACTTCAAAATAACAAAAAATTATAAGCTGTAATGTAACTATTTAGGCGGTAAGTTCTGTCGCTGTACCTTTGTATGCGGCACAAGGATAAGCCAGGGTAGGTTAGCTTCGGTCTCATTAGGTCGCTGACGCTTCTAGACCGGTAGGTTAGGTTAGTTTAGTCCTATAGACAAGCTATATTTTCCTCTAGAGATTGGGGGGCGTGAGCCCTCATACAACAAAGAATCCTGAGGGCTCTAGTCGGCTCGTAAAGCCAGCAGGCGTAAGAAGTTGATTTATTTACTAACTTAAAAGATTTAATACTTAAGAAAATTCTAATGTTGTTTATATCATTTATAATAATATAATATTCAATAACAGTAACAAAAATAAATAAATAATAAATAATGCCACAGCCGCCGCCTATAGATAAACACGCGGAAATTTGCAAATTTCAAGTAGCTATAACTTTGGAACTAGAAGAGTTCACTCATTTTTTACTTGAGATTCGTAACCAGCGTAAAAAATACTGCAAGATGGTAAAAAAAAATCAAAAAAAAAAACGGTGTCCAGTAAAGTAAATGCGTAAGTCATATTTTTTTTAATTTACGTTTGGTTATTATCTTTGTCGTTTTACTTACTTTTTTTTTCAAATATTTTCGTCTTCTTTTTAATATTTAATACATTATATTAAGTGATTTTGGTGGTATTTTTTTTTTGTCGATAAAATTCATAGTATTATTATCGTAAGTTGTCGGTTTAAAAAGAAAAACAAAACTTTAATTATAATCGACTCGATTGCCGTATTAAATATTTAAATTATTACAATAAAAACATTCACAGAAGCTAAATAAATACAAAATATATATACCTATTATCCGTTCCAAAAGAGAACATGCCGGGCGGCGACAATACACAACCGCACACGGCAGCGTCACAACAAAAAAGACAGAACTACCAAAAATCAAAACGTACCTAGTCATCGACAAACAAAAAACCTTCATCATTTGCAGGGCGAGGGACGCCAAGGTTATTCTAGGTTATCTTGTAACCTTGGTGCCTTGGAGGTACTCTGACAATAATTATTGATAAGAGCGACCAAAGAGCAAAAAAACCCGGCCCTTTCACATATTATAATAATATAATATTAAAAATACTAAATACTTAGACCCTTCTGATACCCTCGGTTTTGGTCTCATTCAAAAGCCAAGTACATTATGTCCTAACTCCTAAGTGATTTTAATCACTACTTTAAAATAAACTCCAAAGGCATAGAACCATAATACAGAGGCCGTCGTGGTTTCCAATACCTTAGTTAAGACTTGATATTATGTAGCATATGAAAAAAATAAGACAAAATTGATTCAATTAATAAGATACGATATAATATACCTGATCATTTTGACATTTTACTAATTGATCGTTGGTCTTTTGTGAGTTGAACTTAATTGCTGAAGAAAAATCAAATTTAAAAAACTGTTCAAAGAATTTTTTTATACGACACATATACTACTAAAACTATCTCTTAAAACTGGCAAATAAAGAAACACCCCTCTCCCATTTGGGTTGGTATACCTATATAGAATATCCTAATTAATACTAATGTACATTTACCGATTTGCTTACCTTCGTCCCGTCCGACGTCCAGCATGATTTTGATTTTTCTCACAATATTACCAAAACTAAAAGATACATTTTTTAAACCGAGCGATTCGAAACTGAAAATTTAGTTATTAAACAAAACATAGTACGGCTTCAGCTAGTATAAAACTGTTGTATTAAGTAGCAGACAGCAGAACAAATATTGAAAGTGATCTAAAAAATATTATTACAGCTGTTTTAAAGTTCCAACAACAAGAATTATTCGATAACGTGTTCAGTTTTGATTCTTCCACGTAGTTTGTATGGTAATTGTTTTGTTGCTTTATTGTAACCTTGAGGCAGCACGTTAAAAAAATGCTGATTTTCTCTTTGAATTATTTTTTTATATAATAAATGATAAAGAGACAAAAGCGGGTGATAATAATTTCGCGCAGATAAAATTAACATTTCAGTCCAACCCGCTGTATATTATGTAAAAAAAATAGTAGTTAAAACGTGTTCTTTATAATATTCTCCTTTGAATTAAAATCGTTTTAAAAAAAATATTAAAATTGAAATTTTTAAAAACTTATAGAATTTATTCATAAATGTGGTACTTGAGATTTAAAAATTCCGTTTCAAATAAAATTTGAAATGCTTTTTTATTTATTAAAAATAATAAAAATATATCCACTATATTAATGCAATTTATTTGGTTTTTTCGGTTAATGTCATATATAAGCCAATAATTTATAATTATAATTTTCATGTTTTGCAAAACATGTATACGACGTTGAAAATAAAAATCGTTATCGAACAAACGCATTCAAACTGTAAAATTATCCATATCCAATACGCGTCTAGAGGTTTACATTGGTCATTGTAGTTAAGCTACTAAGAAAAAGATAAATTATAAACTGTTGTAATATATATTTATCATCAAACTAAAGAAAATTGAACACATAAAAAATGAAATATCACACAAAATAAGAACTTTTATGTATGTTATATAATTCTTGTAGAAATATATTATGTAATATTAATGCATACATAATATTAAATTATTAAAACATTAAAAATTACTAAATTATATGAATGCGACACAATATGTATTAAATAAAAAAAAACATTAAATAAATTAGTAACAGATAAAATTGAATACCAGAAAAAGTTATAACACAATGTTAAATGGATAGTTGAAACTAAATAAAAAGCTGTATTTTTGTCTTATGTTAAATCTAAATTATTGAATATATAAGAATAATTATTCAACTTTTAGTGAAAATAAAAGTTTGATTTTGTTACATTAATACAATAATATGGATTTTAAGGTCTTCGGTCTAAATTTTGTGTTTTTTCAAAGTTTTTAAATTTTACTACACAATGTACTTACAATCATAATATTCTTTTTTAATTGCAACTCAAGTAGGGTTAAACTATTTATGTCATAACACATGTATTAAATTAAAAACAGAATGGAGTAAATTTATTTCCAGGATAATTTTTTACAAGCCTCAGGGTATAATTTATAACATATATAATTTTTTCTATGAGTAAAAGCCATTTTGTTCTCGCAAGAAACCAATCTAGACCTAAAAGTCTGACAAAATTATGGCTATTTATAATGATTAGATTTTGTGAAGTCGAATTTCAAAAACCTGTTTCTTTTAAAAATAAATTCCTAAAATAATCAAGAGCCCGATAAACTCAAATATTTTTACAGAATTGAAATGAGACCATCTTAGATTTTGGCAAAAAAAAACAATACACACACTTAACATTTGTCGGGCTCTTTTCTAGTATGAATGCGTTTGTGTATAAGCAGGTTGTGTTTGTCGGAAAAATATTTTAAACACACATCGCAATGGAAAGACTTTGTGTCGGTATGCACATTTTGGTGTTGAGTAAGGTAAGACTTTACAGTAAAACCTTTAAAGCACACTTCACAATTGTAAGGTTTTTCACTGGAATGTATGAGTTTATGTGTGATGAGGTTCGGTTTATTAGCAAAAGTTTTTGAGCACTCATTACATTTGAACGGCTTCTCGCCGGTGTGCACACGTCCATGTGCTATAAGGTGAGATTTTCGAGAAAAAGTCTTCGAACACGTCACACACTTGTGTGGCTTATATCCGGTATGCACGCGTTTGTGTTTGTTTAACTCAGCACCTTCCTTGAAAGATTTTGAACACACTTCACAGCTGTAGGGCTTCTCCCCGGTATGCACGCGTTTGTGTACTGTCAGATAGGTTTTACGAGTGAAATACTTCAGACACACGTCACACTTATAGCTTTTTTGACCAGTGTGCGTGCGTTTGTGTCTACTGAGGCTAGAACTTTGAGAAAAATACTTTAAACACACATCGCACTGATCGGGCTTCTCGCCGGTGTGCGTGCGTTCGTGTACTATCAGACTGAGTTTGTGCGAATATGATTTTACACATATAACACATTTGTACGGCTTTTCTTTGGTATGGACACGTTGGTGTATATTCAGATTCCATTTTTTCTTAAAAGTTTGTAAACACACTACACAATTGAAGGGCTTATTTTCAGTGCATTTTTTTTTGTGTCTAGCCAAATGGCGGATTATTTGTCTTCTGGTAATAAACAATTTTTTACACAAATCACATATGAACGATTGTAATTTGTTTGAATATTTGTCGCTTTTTATTCGAGCCAGTTGATCATTTATATTAGATTCTTCCGCTTTAATTTCATTCGCACTAGAACAAACAATGCCGTGCAACATAAATTAATAAATATAAAAATGTATTGTAATAATATCCTTTTCAATTTTTTCCATTAAAATATTTTATTTTTAATACAGTGAGTATAATTAATGGGCGTTTTTTTCGACTTTTAAGGGGAAGACATGAAATTTTATATTTTTTGCCAAACATGAAGACTTGGTAGAAAAAAAATACATTTAGCAGTTTAGAGTAAATATCAAGGGTCCAGATAAAAACAAAAGATAAATACAATACCTTCTCTAAGCTCTTTAACAAAGCTAAAATTATGTTCATTTCAGTTTAAATTTAAACCCATTAATATGTTATAACTTTTTTAAATATTATATAGTTAAATCTAGTTATTTCTTTCATCATAAAGAAAAAAAAAATGTTTGCAGACAAAATAACTTTGAAAGTCTGTCATCTAATAATAAGATTTATTAGATATCTGTAAGTATAAAAAAAATGGGTGTTCATTAACTAGTTTACTGTGGCAAAATGGGCTTTTTTACTTGAACTACAAGACAGTTTATTATTATGGAAATTTTCATTTAACACTCAAGAGGCCACAGCTAATTTTCAATAGTGAGAATTTACAATAAGTACCTACACGGGGAATGTAAACATTATGTATCCAGCCCGTATCAATTAAATCAACAAGATGTATTAATTGATAATATTTACTTAAGTTCTGCGCTAAACGGATCTTCTACTCTAATCTCCACCTCGTAGAAACCATCATCTGTTTCTTGTAATTCAGTTTTAATTTCAATCTCATTTTTCACTTCATCAAAACTGAAAAACAAAACACATTAAAAAGTTGGTCCGCGGTGAAACTAAAGAGTTATTCTAGTATGAAGAAACTACAAAAAGTAAACGTCACAAAATGGGTAATAATATATGTATTATATCCAGCCCGTCTCAACTAAATCAACAAGATGTATTAATTGATAATATATTACTTGGTAAGTTCTTCGTTAAATAGATCTTCTTCTTTAATCTTTGCCTCGTAGATACAACCATCTGTTTCTTGTAATTCAGTTTTAATTTCGGTCTCATTTTTTACACCATTGACACTGAAAAACAATACACATTAAAAAATTGGTCTGTGATGAAACTTAAATGTTACTTTATCATGGAGAAATTGTTAATATTTTACTTGGTAAGTTCTGCATTAAATGACTCTTCTACTTTTATCTTCGTTTCGTAGAAACGATCATCTGTTTCTTGTAATTCAGTTTTAATTTTGGTCTCATTTATTACGTTATCGACACTGAAAAACAAAACACATTACAAAATTGGTCGGTGATCTATTAAGATGTATATTATAAAGAAACTACAAATAGTAAACCTTGCGAAATGTATATTATGTATGTATTAAACCCAGCCCATCTTAACTGAATTAACAAAGTTTTATAATTGTAAATATTTTACTTGGTAAGTTCAGTGTTCAGCGGATAATTTTCCAACTCTACGTTAATCATGTTGTTGTAGTAATAATTATCTGTCTCATCTGTTTCAATTTTAACTATTGACAAGTTTCCCATTTCATCGGCACTAAAAATTCAAAACACAATCATTTAAAAAATTGGGAGGTAAATCCTCTATATATTATGGATGTTTATATTCTAATACATATAAAAATATTTTCTGTTTCACATTACAGTATGTTTCAAATAGGAACACAACATTTTAAATAAATCAGTAATAAATTAATCAGTACATTTGATAACTCCCATTTACTTTTGATTTTACAACGATATAATTAAACCAACAACATGAGAAAAAATAGATTGAAAATATTGTAGCTAAAAATATCGTACTTCTAAGCTATTACTCAAAAATCCCATCAGATTAAGTCAGTAAAAAATAATTCCTGTTCTAGAACTCATCATCATTATCGTAACATAGCCTGACAAGCCTAGAACACCTGTTCAGTCATGAGATAGTTTGTTGACGAATTTGCTTTTAAGACGGGTTCTCAGTCCATCGCTGTAGATGAGCTTCTTTTCACAAGACGGTTATTGGTCATTCAGCAAACAAAAACGCAAGAACAATGTGCTTTAAAAGACTGCCGCCTTACCCGCTCGGCCATTCGTCCTCCTCAAAAACTTATAATATTGCAAAACAACTCCTCTATTATGTTGTTACTTCAAACGTTAGTAGTGATAAATTGCTTTCAAATTTTTTTTTTTGTTCATTTACCTTGAATAACTTATTTGTGACATTTGATCCATCGTACTTCCATTTGTTTGTTCTGAATATTATAATAAAATATTAATACAATATCTGTTGTTTTAAAAAGTACAATCCAAAAAGTATTAAACTTTACCTGGATCTGGGATTGACATCGTAATTCCAGTAATCGGCAATATAATTATTGTATATCCAGTCAATCAAAGTATATTACAATGAACTTAACAGTACTTTAACTACAATAAACAACAAAACTTTAAAATAAATATTATTATTTATTCGTAGGTACATTAACAAATAACAATAAACTAAAGCAGCCAGAGATAAGGTCGGCCAAATCCACCGTTATCAGCAGCTGTTGTTTGCTTAAACGTTTATATAATTCACCACTTTAGCGTTGAGCGCTGTAGGTTATACTATTGTGAGGTTATATGTTGGCGGGAAGTCTATTACATTTTAAATATTATTCAGCACCTAATTATTCTTATTAATTAGGTCTATGATTCAGTATAATAAAATTGAATTAAAAATTACCAATACGGATATATTAGATATTTAAAGTCTAACGTTTCTTCTTTTATAAATTAAAACCGTTTTTATGTTTCATAATTCATAATTACCATATTATAATAATTATAATTTATTTTTATGAATACCTAATATGTATTTCATACTTCAGTTGTTCATTGTTGTCATCTAGCTGGTTTGGATGATTTTCCTGCAATATTTATCATGCCGCACATACTCAAAATTCTTATAATAATAAAAAAATAATTTTTCTTTCTAGTGACCAAATGTCATAAGTCCTTATCAATCTTTTCTTGTTAGCTTATGATTTATGAATTTTTACATATTAAATTTTGCATTTTAGGGCATTTATAATATTATGGATGATATTACAAGTACAGTTTATTATTTTATTTGTTAGAAAATTGAATCCCTCAACTATGTAATATATTGAGTTCAGTGCCTTATCTTCTTAAAGCTTGTGATTTGTGATAATATGATGTCAGATGTTTGCAGTTTGCCCATGCTGGCGAAATAACAGCCGTTATTGAATAATGAATAATATTCTGTTTACTGTTTAGTACTTTTACTTTATTTGAATCGGCATTCCAATTTTCAACCAATGTACCTATTACTTAAGAAAATCTTTAGAAGAATTTTATACTTTAAATGTCCGTTTCTTGTAATTATAATACTGAATATCTGTCGGGTTTGGAAACCAAGCTTAGGGACCACCTAACCAAGGGACTTTACACAATTGTTCATACTTTATGTCATTAATAAATCCAGCGTGACACATAATGTGACTATTAATTTTTTGTCGATATAATATAGCTCATACCTAATAAATGATTAATTTTAATATCTATATGCTTAATCAATTATTTTTTTTAGCTAATTAGAAGAGAATGAAATATTATTCATAAGTACATGTATGTTAGTTTATAGGTGTTGTGCCTCTGACCATCATAAAACTTACTGTAGGTAGATTATGTGTGTACGTTTAATTAAATAATATCAGTAGTTTAATTTCAATTTTGTCGTGTAGGTATCTAAAATATAAACTTAATGCTAGTACCACAAGAAATTCTATCATAATAATAATTTTTTAAAAACTCCATGTTCATTTTTAATTTTTAAAAAAAATGAGTATTTATTTATTAATGCATTAACAAATCAAACTCTAATATTTACAATATCTGTTAATTTTATACTTTAAATTTACATAAAACGATTTTTTTACAATAGGAACTTGCGTGTGAATTGTACAATAAATTAGGTAATTTTACTATGCCGCCGTTTCTTTACAATTATGTACAAGCAAAATATTTACACGCATACAATACTTTAATCAACTTCTTCAACAGTTGGCCCTCGAGACTGAGATCCTGGGAAACCGCCTGCTCCTGGCATCTGAGCTCCGCCTGCTTGTCCGCCGTGCATCTTCATCATCAACGCGGAACACTTTCCTTGCAGTTCCTTCAGTTTGTACTCGTACTCCTCTTTATCAGCCAGCTGATTGTTGTCCAGCCACTGTATCACGGTATCGCATTCTTGTTTGGCTGCGTTCTTTTCGGACTCGCCGAGTTTGTCTCCAGCGTCGTCCAAAGCTTGTTTCACGCCGAACACATAGCTTTCCAATTGGTTCTTAGCGGCTATGTTCACCCTTTGTCTTTCGTCTTCTTCTTTGTACCGCTCGGCCTCGTTGAGCATACGATCGATTTCCGCTTGAGACAACCGGCCTTTGTCGTTTTTGATGACAATATTTTTCGAACGACCAGAGCTGTTGTCCTTGGCCGAAACATTTAGAATGCCATTAGCGTCCAAATCGAATGTCACGTCGATTTTGGGTACTCCCCTGGGCGCTGGAGGTATTCCGGTCAGATCAAATGTTCCCAACAGGTTGTTGTCCTTGGTCATTGCTCTTTCTCCTTCGAATACTCGTATAGTGACTGCCGGTTGATTGTCCGCGTACGTGGTGAACGTCTGTGTTTGTTTGCACGGAATTGTACAGTTCCTCTCGACAATTTTGGTCATAACGCCACCGGCCGTTTCGATTCCCAACGACAGCGGAGTGACGTCGACCAGCAAAACGTCTTGGATCGCCGAACTCGTGTCTCCGCTAAGAATCGCAGCTTGAACAGCAGCACCGTATGCTACTGCCTCGTCGGGATTGATAGAAAGGTTAAGGGACTTGCCGCAGAAATAGTTTTGCAACAGGTTTTGGATCTTGGGTATTCTGGTCGATCCGCCGACCAACACCACGTCGTGTATAGCTCCCTTGTCCAGTTTGGCGTCGGCCAACGCTTTCTCCACGGGCTGAAGAGTGGACCGAAACAGATCCGCGCACAGTTCTTCGAAACGAGCGCGAGACACTCTTGTATAGAAATCAATGCCTTCCATTAGGGCGTCGATTTCAATTGTTGCTTCCGAGCTCGACGATAACGTTCGCTTGGCTCTTTCGGCGGCCGTTCTCAGGCGTCTCAGTGCCCTGGGGTTGCTCTTGACGTCCCTGTTGAACTTCCTCTTGAACTCTTCGGCCAAGTGCGAGACCAGCCTGTTGTCGAAATCTTCGCCTCCCAGATGCGTGTCTCCGGCGGTGGATTTCACTTCGAATATCGACCCCTCGTCGATTTGCAACACAGACACGTCAAACGTACCGCCGCCTAAATCGAATATCAGTACGTTTCTTTCGCCCGCGAGATGTTTGTCCAAACCGTAAGCCAAAGCAGCGGCCGTGGGCTCGTTTATTATTCTCATGACATTCAAGCCGGCTATGGCGCCAGCGTCCTTGGTGGCTTGTCTCTGCGAGTCATTGAAGTATGCGGGCACTGTGATCACTGCGTCGGTGACGTTTTTACCCAGATAGGCTTCGGCGGTCTCTTTCATTTTGGTCAACACCATCGAGCTGATCTCTTCCGGGGCAAATACTTTGCGCGAGCCTTTGAACTCCACTTGGATTTTCGGCTTTCCACAATCGTCGACCACCCTGAAGGGCCAGTGCTTCATGTCCGCCTGTGTTTTCTCGTCGTCGAATCGCCGGCCTATCAGCCGTTTGGCGTCGAACACCGTGTTGCCGGGGTTCATGGCCACTTGGTTTTTCGCTCCGTCCCCGATCAGCCGTTCGGTGTCCGTGAACGCCACATAACTGGGGGTGGTCCGGTTGCCTTGGTCGTTGGCGATGATCTCCACTTTGCCGTTTTGCCACACTCCCACGCACGAGTACGTCGTTCCCAGGTCGATGCCGATTGCCGTTTTCGCGACCATGTTTTCGCGTTTTGTACTACCGCTGACGGAAAAGTCGTTTTCAATTTAATTGAAAAAAAAATAAACTTGAAACGTTTAAGAAAATCACACACGCAGAAAAATATTATGCAACGCGTTTGTTCGCACGGTACGTGTATCGCTCGGTATCGCACTGTAGTCGCTTTGAATTCAAACTGTCGCTGGCCGGCCCGCCGATTTCGTTTATATAGCCAATACAATGCTCTAGAACGTTCGGCTACGTTCGAGCGCTGCGTCGACGCCGTCTCCCCTACACCGCCAGTCCACCGAGCCTGCACGAGTAGGGCAATAGAAAATTCTCGAACGTTCCACGGTTGTTTGGCGAACATTATTATACCTACGTTCTAAAATATCTAAAATTGTTTTTTTTTTTCTATGTACTTGGCTATTTTGTTTATGAACATTTTTACATTTAAATAGTGTAGTACGGAAAAAGGCGAAACAAAAACTAAAACGTGGAAAAAGTATAATCAAATTATTACTAATTTAAAAATTAATAATTAAAAAATAAATTCGTTTTTTTAATAAACTTTATGTAATACGAAAAAAATTAAAATACACGATTACATCTTTATAGTACGGTTTAATATTACTAAACGCTAGAATTCAATTTCGAACGCTAAGAATATAATTTAAAAAAAATTGTGTTAATTTGATTTCCTTCCGTCAATCATAAAATATTTCAATATTAAAAAAAAAATTATAATTTTAAAATTAATTTATTACATTTATAATAGTAATTGATGAGATAAGTTAATATACATATAAAGGTACAAAATATGAATAAAAAAAACCAGTATATTTTTTCTCTGTGGGTGCCAACCACTAAAATATATTTTTCTAAGCAAAACAAACAATGTAAAAAAGTGGGTTGATTTCTAATTTTAACTTGCTGGCCAATTAAATAGATTTGAAAAAATACCAAAAATGTTTAATACCTATTATATTATATAAAACCTATTAAATACATTTTTAAGTAATTATTTCAGAAGTCCCTACTAAAAATACCAATTTGCCTACTAATTTGAAGACATTTGATTACATATAATATGTACAATACGGTAAAAAGTACTTAAGTAAATGTACCTACTGAAATATTTTTTAAAGTTTTTTTTTTAAGTTATGATATTTCTATCCGTGTGGTTGATCCACACAGCAAAATAAATTAAATATTGAAATTATATGTATTTTACAATACCATTTTTTTATACGGGACCATTTTATTTTTTACCTTTTTTTAATGGTTAAAATTGAATAAGGACCTAAAGCAACAACCAGTTAAATCCAATAAAAAAATTAAAAAATGATTATGGAAAAATAATTTTTATTCGTTCGTCCCGAACAAAGTGGATTTATCTGAAAGTTACTTGTTTTCTTTCAAGCAATTATTTTAACTATTTTTAATTTAAAACAAATAATGTATTAATTAATGTATTATTATAACTAATTTTAAACAAAAATGCACATCAAAACATTTTAATTTTTTTTCAGTACGATTTAC